TCTGAAGTAGAAAATTATGATTTTCCCTTGTCTTTATCTAGCACCTTGTCTAAAAACCTTTGATCACATCTCTTTCTCTATCCTGCACTTTGTTGGTGGAGGTGTAGAACCCAGTTTGGGGTGCTCTACCCCTTTAGCCTTTCCACCACTGCTACCACAGAGGTTTGGGCTGGGGTTGCTTATCTCAGGCCAAGACCCAAAATTGTGAGTAGTTTAAAAGGTATAGTGAGAACAACAAGAAAAAAGAAGAATGTTCACTAAATAAAAAGGAAAAAAATTATCACACTCAGGAATTTATTTAAATCCAGAGCAGACTTCTACGTGCAGTGGTGGAAGATCCACATCTCAGAGCTATGAAATCAAGTGGACAAAACCCATTTTATGTGTGTTTATAGTGGATGATTTGAACACATTGGACCAGATCTTTCCCAGTTAAGATTCCTAGAAATACAGCTTATTCTTGTTTTGCTGCCAGTAGCCCATGTAAGCTTCGCCTAGCTGAAGTGGTCAAGAAAGGTACATTCACAGCTACATCAAGGCCTTTCCAACTTACTTGAAATAGCAGTAATGAGTATACAAAATATTTTACTTCCATTTTCCTTGCCATATATAGCAATTAATCTGTCATTCATCAAATGTACACAAATTTCTTTTCATATGTAAATAGACCATTTGCTTCACAGCTCTAGCCAAACAGTTGTGCAGTTCTTTGTTAAGAAGATAATATATTTAATGACGGAGTGCCTTGTTTCCATTGTATGGAACAGGTGTTGTTTAATGGCACAGGCATTGTAACATTATATTCATTTATTAATATGAGTCCAACTAACACGTTGTAGAGACATGAATGTACTGGTCTCATGGTTAGGGTTAGTGGTTTCTTATGATGTGGTAAGTGTAGGATAGTGGCTTAGATTCAGACTGCAGAGAAGGAGGAGTTCATTATAACAAATCCAAGTGATGTGGCTGGTTTTGGCCCTTGTTCACTTTTGAAAAGCAGAGAATACATGAAAGACTTCATTGAAAATGTGCAAGTTATTCAGTGTGGTTAATTCTACATTGGCTTCGCTCCCACCTTCTTTCAAGACTGTGTATGTGAACATGCTTTTAGAAACAGCAAAACCAATCTGCAATGCATTTATGTTGCTTTTGGATACATGCATAATCCCTAGTATCCTATTTCATGAAGTAACCTGTCTTCAAATATGAGGGAAGAAGTCTATAGGTGATCCACTAAAGCCATTAAACAATACTTGCTTGGATAGTGCAGCTACAGAAAGTCAGTCCTTTGTTCTTTTTCACACATGCTGCCACATTTTAAGAGTTTATGCTCTGAGTGTTTCTTACCTAAAATTGCTGCTCAGCCAACTGGCAAGGTAGCTACAGCTGCACAGGCAAATCAGGTGAATGAGTGAAGTAGCTAAAGTATCTGATTTTTCTTATTGTGTGAAATTACTCATGTAGTATCTGTTGGAGGGCTAGAATTGACAAATGCAGGTAAATGCCAGCAGTGTCCATTTGCTTTATGGAACTCAAATGCTCACTTCAGTTTGTTTGGACACATCTAATCTTTTTTCTCTAGTGCCTTGTGGTAACTTTGATGCCCTATAAGACCATTATGAAGTCCATTAAAGGTATTTTTTTTTTAACCTACCTTTTTGGAAACATTGCCTTTAAAAATCAAGGTATGTAATGAAGGGATTCTGTTATAGTAAAGTTAATAAATGTGACTAAATGCTCACCTCTCTACCTTCTAATATATGGCATACCTTAGTTTGTGTTTCATCTGGCAATTTAATAATCTTCATCATGTTATTTAGTATTTCATTTCCATCTATAATGCTAATGGGTCCTTTTAGAGCACTCTGTATATATCAGCCACAACCACTTTCCCCCAGTAAAGCAAATGACAGCATCCCATTAATGATTTTCATTGCAACTTTCTGAACTGAACTCCATCAGTTCCCCAAGTTTTACTTCTAGTGAAGGATCAACAAGAGAATAAGGTAGCTGTGAAATAAAGTGCTAAAGTTATACAAATATTTTCTTCACTCTTCTCTTGAATTTTCTTCACATTTTTAAAAGCAACTGAAAAAATGACCACATGAAGTTGCCCAGCTTTTCTTCTTGCTTAAACTGAAAAGCCCTATTTTCTTCTCACTAACACAATTTTTGCAATATTCCTTCTCCATTTGCAGCTGAATTTTCTTTACATTTACAACTCAGTAAACAAGAGGAAAAACAGATTCATCATCTGCTTTCCAATTTTCTCCCATGAGGCTTGGGATCAAGGCATGGATTATTCAATTCCAGCAAGAGAAAAAATCACCTCTGTTCATGGTCAGTCACAAACTGGGGAGAGTGAAAATCTCTCATACATGATGATCCCTAAGCCTTGGAAGCTCAGCTGTTTGAAATTGCCATGGGAATGTAGGACAGGAAAAACATTTGGGACCTTTATCTGAGCCACTTCACAGAATTGGTTCTGTATGTTAAATCAGTTGCAAACACTATGCCTTTGCTCTCAAACCAGCTCTGCCCCACATCCCACATCTCATCATATTTCATCCTCTTAACTCAGGCAACACCATCAATCTTCTTGTCCCTCTCATTTCCCTCTCTCTCCTCTGAAGACCTGATTTCTTCTATGAAAACAGGATTTACTGAGCCACCTCCCAAACCTACTGAAAGTTACAGAGAGCAGGGAGTCATCATTCAAGGGCACATTGGTTCATTTCGCACTGTAATAGTGACACGTGCTACAGATACTCATACGCGATAGGGGTTCCTGTCTTGGCCATGGCCAATGTGGACATTGTAGAAGCCACCCTGAAATAGAGCCTCTTCTCAAAGCAATCTGTCTGCCTAGCAAGTAGGACTAACTGGATTTGTTTTGAGTGGAGGCATGGGCAATTCGCCTACTGTTACAAAACATGACAGAAAACTGGGAGCAAATGCATCTTTTGGCTTCCAGACACAATATTGTATCTGACAAGCCATGTCAGACTGTTCTACTTAAATAGTTTGTAACCAAATTATTAACCAGAATGAATTCTATAACAAGATGGGAAAAGTAGCCAGCAGCCAGCTGTGACAGACCACACAGCCTTCCTAGAATCTTGGCTGCTGCTCATCCCTCTGAGGACACAGACCACAGCACAGCATTGATCACACAGGTTTCATTCTTAGCTCTTCTTTTTATTAATACCTCAGTTTTGTCACCTGACACCAGACACCTCAGGACAGCTTTCTTAAGTATTCCTGTCATGTAAATCAAATTTTAAAAAACCATGCTCTCCAGGGTGAAACTGACAGCACAGACAGATTTACCTACCAAATCACTCTGCAACCTGGGCTTCAAAAGGAGAGGCAGCAGGAACAGTTAAATCCATACACGGCCCTGAGTGGACATTGCTCAGACATCTTTGCTACACAGACTTCAAGGCTACAGTATGATAGCTTTATACCTGAACTGGAACCAGAGTGGGCAAAGTAGGTCTCCTATCTCTCCCATGGTAAAAATAGGGTAAAACTTTCAACAGCGTCCTCTGTACTGGCTGTCCTGTGAAATGCAAACATAACACCTCACATGCCAGCTAGAGACACATGAGGTATCGCACTCAATTTTTCACAGAGTACGCTTCTACCCACATCAGGAGATCACACTGTTATCTGCAGCAAGCATTTTTCTTAACTGATGGAAAAATAATTTGATGTTGGCCAAGAGAAACACTATTTCTCTACACAGGAAAATGAAAATAATATCTTCTTAAATGGACAGAAATAAATCTCTGATTGATAGAAAAAGCAAACCAATTCTGTCACAGCTCTGCATCTGTCAGTGATATTGGCCAACTTACCCTGAATTGTCAGTAATGTAGCTAAGAGCAAATTCTGACCAGTACCTATGTTGCATTTTATCTTTCTATAAAAAGAATTACTAGCATGCAAAGTGACAGCAAATCACAGCAGCATGAAAATAGCAAAGCAGGTAGGTAGAGAAGACAGGTGATATAAGGTTTTCCAGAAATAATTGTCCCTGAACAATACAAGTTTCTGTGCAAAAACTTTCTAGTGGGAAGATCAGTATCTTTCAACTATTATTTTGAGAGCACTACTCTTCCTTAATAGAAAAAACTATTAATATTGCCCTGAAGCACTTAAGTGACAATAAAGGCCTTACAGTATTTTAAGAAGAAATTCTCTGTCTCCAAATCTGTGTTTTCCACCCTAAAAGGAATAATATTATTAAAAATAATCAGTACAAACTTTCTTTTAGGAAATTTCTAATGCTTTTTCTTCAAAGGTTTATGAAGACTAAAGAAGGCTCAAGCATCTGTGTAGTGCATCTAGAGCCTATACAGCTGAGGGAGATGCAGTAATCAGTGAAAGTGTAATTCCCTCTTTCTAAACATTTGACTGTGCCTGAAGTGATGTGACATATATGGGTACAACGCAGCTGTTGCATGGTCTCAGGCAGAATGCAAGGGAGAGTCAAGTCATATGGGTGCTAATGTGATGTCACTAAACATAGCTATCATTAAATTATTTTTAAAGTTTTAACACGGAAACATGATACTACTAGCCAACAGTTACTGGACAGACCAGCTTGGGGGACCTGCTAGCACCATAATTCAGGACATAGACAGTCAAGACATTGCATACAAATCTTAAAATAAGCAATAAGCAGGGTAGGATTCCAGAATTATTTTTAAAAACAATTTCATAACATTCTCCATCATGCAGCTACTCAGTGCTTCAGGACACTCCCTGGTAACTGCTGTGGTCTTGCTATCATGATCTCATCTTGAATTGTCATTACATAATGAGCTAAAAAAATGTATCTTGTTAATAGTACATCAACTCCCTTTACATTCTAAACAGAAAATGCACTCACAATTTATAGATATTAGTCAATGTGTTTTCTTCCATCAACTCCCTAAAAATCAGTTTGCTAGTGACCTCATGCGATTTATATTTTCTTCTTTGCCTGTTGACAGCTGCTGGGTGGCATCGAAGCTACAATGGATCAGAATGGAGCAAATGGCACAGCAAGAATTTCTACAGCAGCACTGCATGAGGCACATTTAGCAAGGAAACTCAGAGAAGAGGTTGTGCTGTGCCAGCATGTGGTATGAGTGCTAGTAGGTAACAGGACTCCAGAGCAGAAGGGTTTCCTTGCAACACCTACCATTACCTGGAGCTACTGTGATGTCGTATTGTGAGAACACTACTTAAGAAATACAGCCTTTTTTTAGTGATAGTAATCATGTTTACTCATTCTCACACTACAGCCTTCTAGTTAATGAGCTAATATATTTCTCAAATTATGCAACACTCCCATAAGATTTTTCAGATTACAAATGGATTTTTTTTCTAGGCACTATATTGCCATGTAGCCCCAAATTATCAACTGACCTGCATTAATTCAGAACTTCTTAAAAGTCATTATGCAACATAGCAACAGAGGTACAGGAGCAGAGGTTAGTCATTACCAAGCCCCTAATTGAAGTGACAGCACTAAAAGCACATTAGGGAAGAATTTCAAAAGGTTACACCTACAGTGTCTAAGTAAAGAACGTAAATGAAGTGTTAATTGAAAGTCAGAGAGGTAACAAGTTATGAAAATAAGATAGTAAGAGTTACAGAGGAAAGACTCTGCTGATTGAAGAGAAATTATTTATAAGGCCAACTGCTGTAATTTGGATAAAAAACCCTCCAGGAGGGTTTTCAAATCAGACAATTTGATATTACCTCATCAAATCAGACAATTTGATATTACCTCATCTATGTTGAAATTGCCACCATGAGAGTTAATTCCTAAAGATGCTAAATCCATACACTGGGGAACTCACCAGGGAAGGCTGACCGTGCCTGACATTTAGGATAAAATGCCATGAGGTTGCACGGTCCTTTTCATTTGCCCTCTGTACTCCTCCATTACTGCCTGCTGGTGATATGTTCAGAAGGAAACCTGAGCTGCCCTCAACAGTAATGAAGTGCCATTGTGTTTTAACAGCATGCTTAACTTACATGTTTCAGTATTATTTTTGGCAGCCATGTGATAGAACCCAAAAACTCTGTGTGTGTGCATGCGCAAGTACGTTAAATTCAATTCACATGAGCAGCAGGCATAATTCTGTCCCAGAAATGAATGTAATATCAAGGCTTAAGTTTTTCTAAAAGTGTTTTATCCTATCTGATTCTTATTTGGGCAAAGAGAAATCTGCTTGTCCTGCTGGGAGACACAGCAGCACTTTGCAGTAGTACATCTCCCTTCCCTCCCACCCCAGCCTTTAGCATTTTCCCAGTACTGCTGCACTCCCATATACAAATTAACCACAGTGGTGAAAGCAAATCTAGTCCTTGCCTCATGTCTCCTCTACCCCAGGACCCAGATTAGTCTACAATGGATTACTGGGCTTCAACATAGAGCTTCAGTGCTGCAGTAGGACTGAAGCAGTGCTCTGAGGATAAGGGTAATGCCATTTCTAATGCAAATAAATGTTGTTTGCAAACCCATCTGCATTAATGCTGAGAAACCCAAGCTGTCAATAAGCTTTCATCCAGGCAGGGCAGCATCTGAAGAAAAAACATGGAGTGTCTCCCATGATCACTCCTCTGCATAGTCTCAGAGTGTCGTTCACACGATGGATAGGTCAGGAAAGAACAGCAGTATGAAAATGCATTAACTATCAGCTGCCGTATCTAAGGCAGGTGAATGGAGCAGGATACTATGGACAACCCCAAGTTAACTTCAAACAAAGCCAACTCAGGCATCAGGCTGCTTTGGGCCACACCACCTGGACCTCTCTGCAGGCTTCTTTGCAATCCTTCTTCAGCAGCATCGCCTCATTTCTGGCAAAAACAAAACAACCAGTGACATTTGGAAGATGTTTTGCTTGTCATGACAACACAAACAACAGCCTTTGTGGATGGCAAGAGATTGCTGGACTTGAACAGGCAAGGCTCTCCTCTTGCAATAGCAACAGGTGATTTAAAGAACCCAAAGAGCAACATAAAAGGCAGGAATGGGGAGCAGTGATAGCTCCAGAGCCTTTGGGAAGGAGAATATTTGACATGGCTAGACATATGGTGGATGAAGATGTGTGTAAGCTGCTGGCCACATTGGCCTGGACCAGGGCAGTGACTGTCCTCTTATACTCAGTACTGATGAGACCACACCTTGAATCCTGTGTTCAGTTTTGGACCACTCACTACAAGAAGGACATCGAGATGCTGAAGATTGTCCAGAAGGGCAGTTGAGTTGTGTAGGGTCTGGAACAGAAGTCCTGTGAGCTGAGAGAGAGCTCTGTTGTTTAGCCTGGAGAAAAGAAGGCTCAGGGGAGAATTTATGCTGTCTACACCTGCCTAAAAGGAGGTTGTGACAAGGTGGGGGTCAGCCTCTTTCACAGATTTTAAGTGGCAGGCTGAAAGGAAACAGCATCAACTTGCACCTCAGTTTGGGGAGGGATTGCATATGGGATAAAATGTACTCAGCAAAGGGCTGAATACATTCAAATCACCACCAACCCTGAAGGTATTAAAAAGATGTGTAGATGTGGTGCTTAGGGGTACAATATACTAGTGGGCTTAGCAGTGTTAGAGCTGTGTTTGGGCTTGATACTCTTAAGGGTCTTTTCCAGCCCAAGTGGATAAACAATTCCAAACTACCTAAACGTCCATGTGCTGTTCCTGGTTATTGCTGATTCATTTGGTGCAATTGTGCAAGTCTAAACTCTGTGAAGAAAGTGTTTCAGATTCTTCCCTCTGAAAGCAGAATAATGTTTACTTAGCAGAGTAAACCTCAGAAACACCAAAATACTGTCCTGCACTTTGAAGCTCACAGATACCTTTTTTTTTTCACAAGTCATTACCTTTTTTTCCTGCAACTGTTTTCCATATGAAAATGAAATGATTCCATGAACACTGAAATGAAATCTGGCTACTAATGGAGCTCAAACCTTTGTCCCTTCAGATTTCTTTCCCCAGTCACCTGTGCACAAACCTGCCTTATCAGTCCTCACTGTGTTCCTTTATGAACAAAACTGTGTGTACTGTTCCATGGAGGCCCATGCTGACTGCTGAAAATTTCTTAATCTGCCTTCCCTTCTGCAGAGGCACTGCCACTCTTCTAGAGAGAAAGTAGTTTCTACAAATTTAGTCAAAATATAATTATTGCACACACTCATCAAATTCAGCTGAAGACTGACCAAATTCAGAAGTTGCTTGTGAGGGTAAATAGCAGACAGACAGACAGATCATAAAGAAAGATTGTGTAAGCACAATTTTCTTATGAAACCAAGCTACAGTAGAATTAAGAGATTCAACATGATGCTCCACAAGGACTGTAATTCGTTCACCTTAGACAATTATACACTAACATTTTTCATTTCACAGAGCAACACAAAATATTACACAGGAAAAAGAAGAGCTGATCCCTCATTATAGTTGTTCTAGGGGTCATGAACCTCATTATGGGTTTTGCAAGCAAATATAAAAAGATTAACTACTGCATTGAAGAATTTCACTTAGAGTTAAAACCTACAGAAAGGTGAATAACTGGGATTTGGATTTATCATAAAATCACTATAAGGCTAAGCTACATATTTTAACAAACGAAAATACCAATGAATCACAGACACAAGAATACTAGTCACCCTTCTAAATTTCAGCAGATACAGCATAGTTTTCCTCACAAACAGTCATGTCAATATACCTTAATGTGGTTCACACAGCTGAGCTCCATTCTGCGGCTGCTTTGCAGAGGTGTACGTGCTTTACATTTTGGTATTATGCATACTTCACTCTACAATGTGTGAGCTTTCTGTTTAATTTAAGTTCCTCATTCCATTTGTGGTTGCCATCAAAGTATTTACCCTTGTTTAAAACTCACAGAACTGAAGAGTTACCTCAACAATATTGAAGCCTATGCCTTCCTGATGACCTGCATCCAGACATTTTAAATCAACAAACAATGTCTTTTCCCTGACCCTTTTGAGCTTTTGTTCAAAAGTTTGAAGGCTGCTTACTGACAAGTGATTTGTTTCCATTAGAACATGCCTCATTCCAGCCATCCGTGACCATTTTGTACTTAGGGGTTTATAACCAGCACGTCTCAACATTCCTAAAATCCCAGAGAGGATCTGAAAATAGAATAAGAAATGAGCATTTAAATTAAAAGCAACAGCACTTGCATGAAGCTGCCAGGTTTTTATGGTAGATAGTGTCTTTTTGCCCACCCCCCACTCTCTCTACTCCCCCTTTTTCTCATGGTAGTAAGCCATGTTTTCCATAATATTTTGCAATGCCACCTAGGGTTACATTCCCTCTATTTATAGGGGCCTGTTTTAAAGTGAAACAGGTGTCAGATTGAATGAGGCTGTTGTCAGCATATAAGTCCTCTTAGGAGGGGATGGGAGGTTTACTACTTTCTGTACTTGGGGAATTTACAGTCTGATCACTAATCTCTCTGCAGGGCTCAGCAGGAGGAGGGGGAAAGGCAGAAGAGCAGTGGAAGGAAAGGTTAGCTTTCTGCTGGAACTATGCACTGCTGCCTCTCCCTCAGATTCATGCAACCAGACCTTTGCTTTTTTCATGTGCTGAAACTGATCTGAGTGTTTGTAAAAGGGGCCAGACAGACAGCCTGTCCTGAGGAATAAAATCCTTCCAACAGACATGAAACAGGCAGAACTCAGCTGAGAACAGGGCCACTGAAGACCCCTGTCCCATCTGTATCCCACCCACCCCTTTCTGTTGATTACACCTGGCACCAGCTGTAGGGAATAAAGATCAGCATAATGCCTCCACACCTCTCCATCTCATGCCACCTTTGCCATTATTATTTCCTGAACAGCAATCCATTAACATCACAATTGGGAATGCTGCAAGGACACAGAACACTGTGCTAATAGTGTGTAGCAGTAAATTCCAGCATAGAGTCCCTGGGACACTGCTCAGAGTCAGACCAAGGCAATGAGTATGTCACATCAAGGGGGTGGCATGGGAAGATGAGGTAACACTTAAAAAATAGTTAAGAGAAAAGAAGTCACAGCTTGTTGCTCACCTTCATTTTGCAGGATGACCATGCTTATTGCCAAGACCACTAAGACATCTGACACAGACCAGCAGCAGTTCATCAATTGTTGAAACTATTAATCAATACCTATATCAAAACCAAGACTCTGGAACATGCTGGACATGCTACAGTGGCAAGGAAAAGAGTTGCTACTTCTTCATCCAAACTGCAGGTGTCAACCTGGCACAAAAGTCAGACAGCTGACACGAGGAAGGAGAATGGAACAAGAGAAAGCATGACTGTCTTTTTTTGCTTAGAACATTTAATGCAGCAATGAGGGCCTTTTCAGCACTGAATAGAAAGCAGGTCTTTGGGAAGTGCAAGAACAAGAATCTCACAAATGGCATCAGTCTGTAGGGAGAACCTGACAGATGTGCAGCATCAATGCCAGAGGCATGGTGTGCATCATGAAGACTGGAAGCAGACCTGCCAGGGTGAAGATAGTGTGGAAAGGCAACAACAGAGACTATTTGATGACACTGGTGGCAATGATTTAGAGGCATCTTGGACTTACCTGGCATCACCAGCATACCAGCATGGCCATATGATGTACGTTTTTTAAAGTATTCACAGGTATTCATCAGTAGTTGGAAGCTAACAGCTTCCATAACACCTGAAACGGAGAGGATCTTTAAGTATTCCTCTCACAGATTTTTCTTGAATGTGGGTTAGGCCACCATACTGATTTCCATTGCAAGAAAGTAATCTGTAGTTCTTGGAAAGACATAAGTCACATAAAACTGCCATATTTATCCAAGGAACAAGGCGTTAAGGCAAGTGGATTTACATGTGCAAAAATCCCAGTTCAGCATGTGTTTGTGGATTTACTGTGATTCATCAGTCATTCATGCTAATTTGCTATACAAATAACAATGTACATTTTAAATTTAGTATTTGTACTTGGAGTTATCACTACTGTATAACTCATTATGGTATTTGTGGTTTCTGTTGTGTACTTATTTATGAGCACATGGGGTTTAAATATAATGAAAATCACAAAATTATGAAAAAATAATTACAAAAATATGAAAATCCCATTGCACAGAAATGCAGTGAGACTCTTGCAGAACTATTTAGTTTTGTTTATTAAGCAAGGAAACAAACTCTGAAAATAACAAAGAAAAAATAGCACATAACTTCATGGAAAATGGGACTGGGAGAAAACACACAAATATTTAAGTACAAAAGGTTACATTTTCAGAAGAGCTCACCAGCTTCCATTCCTGAAAATGAACACCAGACTCATTGGATGCTGAATGCTGTCAAAAATCTAACCACTTCACTGAAGAGCCTAACTGGGAGCTGAACTGTATTTGTAATCTGATCCCATCTGGGAGATGTGGCGTACCAAATTCTTTGGAAAGAACTAGATCTTATCACTACCATTCCTGAATTAATAGAACACAGTTGATAGAGCACTTCGTGCAACATAAGTAATTTTAATAACAAATTTACATACAGCAAAAACTAACAAGCAAAAAAAAAATTGCTGAAGAATCTAAGAGGTTTTAGCAGGCTGTTCTTACATTTGATAGGGAACTTCAAAACAGGCAGCTGGAAAAATCCCTATGTGCTCAGAGACCCTGGGCACAACTTCACTGGACTTTGCCCTACCCAAACCTCCAGGGCTTCTGTCTTTTCTTATGCACAAGAGCAGAGAGAGAGTGCTGGGGTCTATTAAAACTGCCATGGCTCTCTTGCCTGCTGCACTGTCTTCCAAGGGGTAGTGAAACCATTTCTTCCATTCCACCATCTCTAAAGCTCTTGTGCCCAACCCCTCCCTCACAGAAGGGTTCAGGTGTGCAGCACGTCCATATGCATATCTGTTTATGTATATATACAGATGAAAATACAAAAGCTGAGACCTTGCAGACAGGTTATCCAGAGGGGATTACAAAGCCATTGCTTCCACTCCCTGAAAAATGTTTGGGTCTTGAATTAAGCTATAACAATGGAAATGCTTTCCAGGCAAGGTCTGCTACCAGTCTCCTGCATCCCTTCAGCTTTTGTCAGACCTCATACCTCTAAGGAAATGCTCATATCTTGAATTACAGGAAACAGAGATGAAAATCACTGTAATCTTTCGTGTCCTTCTTAGGTTCTTATCCCTAATATTCTTCGCAATTGACCACTTCAAAATTATCACTTTCTCTATCAATCTCAGTAAATCTGCTACCTGCTAGCTGTAGCTCTTTGTTTTGCTCTACTCTCCTACAGATTCAGTTCATCTTGCTTTTTTTTTTTTCCTCAGATCACAGTTCTTTCAATTATTGCTGCAAAACATCCTTCCTGTCTACAGCATCACACAATTCTGCGTTATATTTTCATTGTGTGACAGGCCTGCATTCTTGAGGGTCACCAAATCTGCATTTGAAAATTCCTTGATGGCTAGAGCAGAAGCTTGTATGCCACTCCTTGTAATGTAAAGGTAACAAAATAGTAAAAGCATCACTGTGCAGCAGGAACATCACATTCACCTTTCAAACAGTTTGCGACCCTTATGGAGTTAATTTACATTAACATAAATATTCCATTAGTAGAAATGTTTATAACATACTTCCCTCTCAAGAGGCATTCTGCAACAAGATTCTTCAACCACTTATGTTTAACTAATGTGTATCACATTTGAATAATATAAAAAGACAACTGAGTTAAGTGATTGAATGCCTGGAGAAAACCAATGTTAATTTCCACTAAAAGCAAAGCATATTCCCTTCATTTTGCTGCTTAATTACTGCAGTATTTGGCCCACAAATAAAAAAAAATGGTTCAAGAAGTGTCCAATAATAGCTTGCTGAAGCTTATTTTTGCCCTCCCACATACCTCTGAAAAGGATTTTCCATATGCATTATTTCAAGCCTATTCCTGTGACCCAGAGCAAGGCTGGTAAGGTTGAATACTTGGTTTCCAATGTGTTGTTGATGTAATCTGATAACCTTGCAGGAACTTGGCATGGGGCGGCTTCTGCATCACAGGCTACACTAGTGCCAAAAATCCACCCAAAGTGGAAATACGGAAAACAATCCTCTTCTCAATTCTGATAGGATATTCTCCATGGTTCTATGGAATTTTTCCAAAGAAGCTTTATAAGCAAACTGTAGCAATGAACTTATCCCCATGCTATTCTGCTACTGCAACTTGTTGGCCATGCACTTTCAAAAACAATAGCAAAGACTTCTCAAGGTAGTTGGTTAAGATGAATGACATACTGTTTCACATAAATTTCAACTCACTGATATTTAAAATAGACTGGGTTTGTTTTCCAGCCATATAAAAAGCAATATTAAAAAAAAAAAAACATTAAGATGAAGTGAAGGCAAAGGCAAGTCAGTAAGTAAAGAATGTATTAAAAAGCTTAGCCACCCTTCTAGTTTATACAGAAAAAACATATCACTTGCAAAGTTCAGGCAAGCTCAGAAGAAACTCATGGCCATGAGCAAGATCACTCCTTTGACTTTGGTAAGATGAAGGCAATTTACTTTATCTGGAATAAAGCAGTGTACTGACATCTTGCATCATTGCTCAGTGAGGTTCTAACCCAGATTTCTACTTCAGGCATCTGGAAATTTATCGTAAGAGTCACTTAAAGTATAATTATTCCTACTTTATCATGGTTATAGAAATTTAACTTGTTTTTTATGAACTTCTCTGAAATTTCTAAAACCCAGTTGCTAAAATTTAGCTCTAGAGACTGGTTTTCAAGCAGTCAGATGAACATGCAAGAGAAAAACTGAGAAAGATTAATTTGAGCCTTGTAAAGCTTTAATTCTTTCCTTTAATGCTCTGGCTGTTAATTATTGCTTTCTATAAGTAGTAAAATATTTGATTCTTCACTAAAGTACGTGAAAAAATCTGCAAAATGGTATTAGCAGGAAGCAAATGTTTAATTTCAACTCAAGCTTCAATGACTTTTAAGAAAGAGGGTATATTTCCCTGAATAGAGCATATGATCTTGTGTGCTCAGCCCACCCCAATTCTCTAGTCTCTTATCTTTGTGTCTAGAGTGCACTTCTGTGCACTCTACAAAGAATTTACAGGACCACCCTTTAATGTAAGTGGACATTCACCTTCTGGCAGGACTTTTAAAATCCCTGATACTGTATGTGGTGCATTGAGATGACTGGTTTAGATTATTGACTTCTATAAACAATGCATATTGAGAAACAGCTGAATGGCAGATCTCAGAGGGTTGTAATCCGTGGCACAAGGTCTAGCTGAAGGTTCCATACTGGGCCCAGTATTGTTCAGTTATCAATGACTTGGATGAAAGGACAGAGATCTCAGCAAGTTCCCTGATGACCCAGAGCTGGAGCAGTGGCTGATTCCCCAGAGGGATGTGCAGTGCTTCAGAAGGACCTCGACAGGCTGGAGGGATGGGCAGAGGAAAAAACTTCTGAAATTCAACGAAGATAAATGCAGGGCCCTGCACTGGGGGAGGAACAACCCCAGGCACCATCGCAGGCTGGGGCTGAGCTGCTGGAAAGAATTCTGAGGAGAAGGACCTGGGGTTCCTCATGGACAACAAACTGTCCATGAGCCAGCAGTGTGTCCTGGGGCCAAGAAGGCCAATGGGGTCCTGGAGTGCATTAGGAGGATCACTGCCAGCAGGTTGAGGGAGGTGATCCTGACCCTCTGCTCAGCCCTGGTGAGGCACATCTGGAGTTCTGTGTCCAGTTCTGGGCTCCTCAGGACAAGAGAGACATGGAGCTCCTGGAGCAGATCCAGTGTATGGTTATGAAGAGATGATCAAGGGACTGGAGCATCTCTTTTATGAGGAAAGACTGAGGGAGCTGGGTCTGTTCAGCCTTGAAAATAGACAACTGAGATGGGACCAGGTGAGTGTCTGTCAGTATCTGAAGGAAAGGTGTCAGAGGATGGATCCAGGTTCTTTCTCAGAGGTGCCTAGCAACAGGACAAGGGGTAGAAACTGATGCATGGGAAGCTCCACCTGAACTTGGGGAAAAACTTCTTTACTGTGCAGGTGACCAATCACTGGTATAGTTTGCCGAGAGAGGGTGTAGAGTCTTCCTCACTGAAGACATTCAAGAACTATCCGGACACAATCCTGTGCCAGGTGCTCTAGGATGGCCCTGCCTGAGCAGGGGGGTTGGACCACATGAGCCACTGTGGTCCCTTCCAACCTGACCCATCCTGAGATTCTGTAATTGATTTAAGGCAGCATGGGTATAAAAAAGTGCACAAGGATAACACCTATTAGGGACAAACAACTGATGAGAAACAAAGGAATAAATGTTGAAAAAAATAGATGTAATTTATTTTTAAGAGCCTCCCATTTATGACATCTAACATTTGAGGTCAGTTTAATACAGAGGCACAGGCAGTTTGGTTATTTGTCTGCCCATACAAGAGGTTATTTGAAGCAATCAAGCAGTGCTGAGAATAACTACTATGCCCACGTAGAGATTGCCCACAACCATGTGCAAAAGGGTATTTATGCAGTTACTTTCAATTACAGATTTGTGTGTGTGAGTAGGAATATTTTTCTAATTTGTAGAGGGTTCCACAAGTTCAGAGATCCTTCTTATTTCCAGATATTATGCCAATTATTATGTGCTGATTGAAGGAGATGCCTTATTTTCAAGAGCTGTTGAAGGAAACAGTTTTATCTACATGACTCCTACCCAGTATTTTTGTCTTTGGGCATGTTAATTGGATTAAAGACCAAACCAGTTTTGCTGTTCTTCTGAACATCAGTCAAACAAGGAATCTAGGTGTATGGCTGATTTTACATATGTAAGGATATTGATGAAATCTGCTTATATTTTTGAAGCTAGACAGGTACTACAATTTCTTAATGATGGTGGACTGAGACTTACCTTGGAAGAAAAACTTGGGGGTGTTTGTGGATGCAAAACTCGATGTGATTCAACAATGTGCACTCCCAGCCCAGAAAACCATCTGCATCCTGGGCTGCATCCAAAGCAGCGTGGCCAGGACACAGGAAGGGATTCTGCCCTTCTGCTTTACTCTGGTGAGACCCCACCTAGAATTCTGCACCCAGCTCTGGGGTCCCCAGAAGAAAAAAGACATTAATAGATCTAGACAAGAGCCACTAATTTGTTCAGAGGTTTGGAGCACCTCTCCTACCATAGAGAAGAGAACACTCTGGGAAGACCTTAGAGCAGCCTTCAGGGGGACCTACGGGAAGGCTGGAAAGGGACTTTTCAAAAAGACATTTAGGAAAAGGACAACATGGAATGATGGCCTTAAGGTGAAGGAGGGTAGGCTGAGATTAGATATTAGGAAGAAACTCTTTACTGTGAAAGTGGTGAGGCACTGGAACAGGTTACCCAGAGAAGTTGTGGGTTATCCATCCCTAGAAATGTTCAAGATCAGGCTGGACTGGGCTCTGAGCAACCTAGTCTAGTGGAGGGGATCCTTGCCTATGGAAGAGAGAATTGGAGCCAGATGATCTTATAATCCCTTCAAACTCTAACCATTCTATGATTCTTATTAAATTTTATTCTTGTGTGTAATGCTCATTTAAGTATACTACCATAGACAATTCAAAAGAGTAGCTGCATGTCTCATGGCACTTCTGCAGACCCCAGATACCTCCTATATGCCAGCTTGGTAGTAGAAGAATACTTATTTTGCAACTGCCTTATTTTGCAGCTGTGTATTGGACAGCACACACAGTTTCTCTGTTTTAGTGATTACTGGAGTCATTAAAATTAAGAATGAACAAAGCTACTTGCATAAAATGTAGGACAACACTGAAGTAAAATAAAAAATAAATGTGTGTTAATGGAAATAAGAATTGCATTATAGAAAGAAAGAAGTCCTCAATCTGATTTGGTAAAACACAGGGCAGTAGAACAGAGTGGAGGGATTTCTGAGTGTGCATGGAAGTAATCAGCACGAAGCTGTTGTGGAGAACTTTCAATGCCAGCAGGGATTTCTAGCATGGATGGAGAGGATGCACATCAGGAAACATGATGGTACAGCAGAGAGCTGGGGGGAGAAATATGGCAAGGCTCAGAAGAGCCATGGGGCAAGAAAACCTATGTACCCACCTCTGCACCATGAACCACATTCCTCCTTTCTGGGAAAAGTATCAGTGAGCTCCATGCCACAGTCACAGCATCATCCCTCAGACGTCAAAGAAAAACACAACTGAAACATAAAATATATAACCACAAAATAAAATAAAACAGCAATTTTAGCACTTAAAGAGTACTGACACTTAATACTTTTAACTGCCTTCCAAATAATAGACTCTGTGCAGCCAGGTGTTCATGGTATGCTTGATCATAAAGAGCAGAAAAGCAGTGTCAAAAAGATGAAGCCTTCCAGCTTCTTTGTAAACAAGCCTGATGAAGGATACCTGTCTTATAGCTATGTGAAGGATTTAAGCCTCAAATTTATTTCAGCCATGCACTGACTACACCGCTCTGGAAGCTCTCCACTTTTCCCTAGATGGTAGGGAACAGAAGCTACAGCTGCTGAAAGGACTACACACACTTGAATCTCAAAGATAGATAGATAGATAGATAGATAGATAGATAGATAGATAGATAGATAGATGATCAATAGATATAGATGTGTGTGTGTATATATATGAGGGTGTGTAAATATATATATATGTACACACATACATGTAAAACCACCATTATCATGTGGAGTTACTCTTAGGTTTGCTCACAAAAAGGAAAGCACAGGGCTACCTGGCCTTCTCTTCACACAGCATAACCTTTGCCCCTGGAGAACCACAGCCTTAGGAAGAATCACCAAAGTGCCCTCCTGGAGAAAAGTATCTATGAGGAGACATCACCAAAAAGCAGCTACCTTCCTTAACAGGCATACTTCTTTTTTTATTTTATAGGAGAAATATATTCTTAGTAGTAC